CTGTCTTTTCCTGACATTGAGCCTTAGTCCATACTGAAGGCTGCAGTCCTTGACCCTCTGCAGTAAGTGCATGAGGTCCTCCTCAGTTTCAGCGAGCAAGGTTGTGTCATCTGAATAACGCAGATTGTTGATAGATCTTCCACCAATCCTATAGAGTCAAAGAAATACTTGCTTTGATGGTTTTAAAAAAGAATTTGTTTTGTCTGAGGCCAGTGCCCTGGGTCTCAGACATTACACTGAGGTTCTCAAACTCACTCAAGATTTCTGGTAGTAAAATCTCCTCAAAACCAAGCAAGCAATCAAGCAAACAAACAGAATTTTTCTGGGTGGTGTCTCAGGTAGTGGGCATTGGGCCTGGGCTCAGGCCAAAGTCCTGAATTTGCCTTCTCTTCCACGGGTATAGATTCGTGGTGTACAGCTACAGGTATGTGCATGAGGACGGCCGCGTCTCCTACCCTTTGTGCTTCATCTTCTCCAGTCCTGTGGGTGAGGCACATCTCCCGTCTCCTTCCCTGAGTGGAGAGGCTGACACTCTGAGTGTTCAAGTGTATGCTTGTGAGTGCATGTGTGTGGGGTATGTCTGTGTGTGGCTGTTTAGGGGCCTGTGTTGGGAGAATGAGGATGGGCAGGTGTGTAATTGTGTGTATGATCACATGTGAACGTGCGAATGTATGTGGGCCTGTATGATAATGTGAGCCTGGCTTACAGTGTGTGTGTGCGCCTGCACGTGAGTGTCTGGATAGCCTGTGTGAGTGCATGGGATCCGATGTGTGAAAGTGTGAACATGTGCAGGCAGCTATGCTCGAAGGTTTGTGAAGGTGTAGAGTGTATGGGTGACTATGAGTGTGTGAATGTATGTCTGTGTAGGCACCGGTGTTAGAGTATATGTGAGGGTGTAGGAACTCTGGTGGCCTAGTGTGTTAAGAAGCTGCTTGGCAATCCCAAGGTACATAGTTTGAACCTGCCAGCTACTCTGTGGGAGAAGGATGTACAATCTCCTCCCATGTGGATTACTGCCTTTGAAAACCTGCTGAAGGGTGACCTATAGGTTGGCTCCAACTTGAAGGCACACAACAACAGCAACAACAATGACTGTATGAGAATGTGTGTGTGCAGCATATGTTGCCTGTGCGAGGTTTGGTGTGTAAGTGCATAGCTGTGTGCAGGCACAATGTCAGAATCCATGGAGAGTTGTACTGATGACTACAGGAGTGACTGTGTGTTTTTGTAAATATGTGAAGGCAAATGTGTGTATGTGTAGTGTGCATGCACACATGTGTCACTGTGTCAAAGCACAGTGTTAAAGTGTATGTGGACTTGAGTACGTATTTGTCTGCAGTGTTTGTGGAATATGTGGTGTGTATAAATGTGTGTGGGGTGTGTACAGGGAGGGCAGTGGGGTGGGAATAGGGGCTCAGATTCATCACAAGCCCCACTCATCCTTCTCAGTCCTGAGCACAAGCCAGTTCTCTCTTCTCCCTTTTATCTAGAAATCCATCTCTGGCCCCTAAACTGTCCTCAGGGATCTCTGGAATAACTTCAAGGCACCTAAACAAACTAGAAACTTGGAGTGTAGCCTCTAGGGCCTTCCTTAGAATGGCTTCTAAGATCCTTGGAAAACTTGAGGGCTTGCAGCATATTCTAGAGCCCCAGTGAATACTTCAGGGTCCCCCCAAGTTTTGCTCAATTCTCTTTTTACCATCACAGGCTGCAAGCCCGAACAACAGATGATGTATGCAGGGAGTAAAAACAGGCTGGTCCAGACGGCAGAGCTCACCAAGGTCTGAGTCCTAGGGAGGAGGGAGCCGGGGGGCTGCACCCCTGGACCCCAGGCCTCAGCTAGTGAGCAGGTGGAGTCATGACACTCAGACTTCTCCCTGCCCAGGTATTTGAAATCCGTACCACTGATGACCTCACAGAGACCTGGCTGCAAGAGAAGCTGTCTTTCTTTCGTTGACCACTGGGATGAAGACTCTAATTCCTGATGTCTAAGTCACCAGAAGAGATGAGGACTCAGATCCCTGAACGTGCACAATCCTAAAGAAATAAAATTAAAAAATTTAAGAACTCAAGTGATTCTCAATTCTGGCTGTTTCTTCACTCAGTAAAGGCTCTTGCGAGCAATACCTGCAGTACCAACTTTAAGCCAGGAGAGGGCGAGCAGACCATGGGGAACTGCGGGTTGAGTCTCTAGAGGAAAGGGTGACACTATTTCCAAGGCAAGTGGGGTGCAAGTGTGAGCAGTTTTCGTTGGGGACTGTGGGAGGCCTGAGTCTTCTGGATCCATGGACAGGTCGTTGCTAAGGGAATACAGACAACCAGGTTCCTGAGAATAAAGTAGGCAGGCAACCTGCCCCCTTTTCTCCCCTTCCCTCCCCAGGTGGGGCCAGCAGGCATTAGCTTGCACCAAAAGCTATTTTTCTCATCTGAGCCCCCAGGTGGGAAGAATTCAGAAGCATGAAAGTTGTTAAAAGATCAAAAACAATTGCTCTGGGTGGTGGTGTTTTTCATGACTGGTGAAAGCTGAGGGTCAAGGAATGGGTGAAGTGAAGAGGATCCAAGGCCCTCAGAGGACCCCTGGAGAGGTATGACATTCAGGAGACAGGGAAAGGACGCTTCACCTGGCCCCTTCTCTGGAAACTCTTCTTAATCTTTCTTCTGGCATCTCTGCTTAGTTGACTCAGGGTTTTGTCTCTGTGACCCTCTCAATGGCATTTACTGAGCACTCACAGTGTACCAGACTTTTGGAATTTGGATGTGGCTAGGTTCTCAAAGATGAATAGATGAATGACACTGTTTCTTCTTCTTTTCTTTGCTTCTGATTGTTTCTCTCTCTGTCCTAGGATTCTGGGCATTGGGAACTCTGTCCTCTGCCTCCCCTGTCCCCCCCCCACACCCCCCGCCCCAGTCCTTTTCCAGGATCCCTGTGAAGAGATGGTAATTGCCATAGTAATAATGACACAGTGACTTTTGAGCCTGGCACTTCCCCCCCTTTGGGTCCTGTCATTTTTCAGAGGTCCACAGTCCTAGCTTCTCCCACTTCATCTCTGACAAGGTTGCTCACTGTGCCAATTTCACATGACTGGAGATGGAAGAGGAAGAGAGATAGAAGAAAGGGGTCATTTAATTAATAGGTAAAGGAGGAGCTCAGAAAAGGCACTGACAACTATATGAATAATATTAATAAACTTAACTACTGAGGGCTTACTATGTACCAGATAATGCTATAAACATTTTATAGGGATTAACTAATCCTTGAAACACACCATGGAAAAGGTACTATTGTTATACCCATTTTTTTTGTTTCTTTTAATCTTTATTTTTTAACATAGAAAATGTTTTATTTTAATTTCCCCTCAGTGTTGCACATTTCCCTCCTTCCCTCTCTCAGCCATCCCTGCAATGGACCCCCTTGTTCCAGATTGTTGCCATACATATAATTCCTAATCATATATTTCTTTTGGGCAGTTCTTCCCTTTATCTGATATACTGCAGTGTTAATTATCTATCCACTTTACTCCATTCTCTCTCCAACCCCTCCATGTCTGTGCTATTTTATAACAGCAGTGCTATGCAGTATTTGTCCTTTTGTGACTGAGATATTTCATTCAGCATAATGTCCTCCAGACTCCCTCATGTTGTGCAATGTTTTACGAGTTCATTTTCTTTAGTGCTGTGTAATATTCCATTGTGTGAGTGTACCATCATTTTTCTATCCATTCTTTTGTTGATGGGCACTTCGGTTGCTTCCATCTCTTTGCTATTGTGAATAACACACTAATAAATATGGCTGTGCATACATCTGTTTGCATCATGGCTCTGGTTTCTCTAGAGTACATTCCCAGTAGTGGAATTGCTAGGTCAAACGGTATTTCTATTTCCAACTTTTGGAGAAAGAGCCAGACCACATTCTATAGTGTCTGTACCATTTTATATTATCCACCAGCAATGGATAAGAGTTCAAATCTCTCCACAATGTCACCAGCATTTTTTGTTTACTGGCTTCTTGAATTTTGCTATTGTTACTGGGGTAAGGTAGTATCTCACAGTTGTTTTAATTATACCCATTTTACAGATAAGGAAACTGAGACACAATAGTAAAAAATACACTTGCTTGAGGTCTCTGACTAGTAACTGCATACTTAGAATTAAAAATCCATGCCCTTTTTTCTCCATATCTATTTTTTTCCTCTCTCTTTTTTTATTTGGAAAAAACAAATTGGGGGTACAATGAGGTAAGGGTTGGGGGCAGAAGGGTGAGGATGGGCAGGGATGCAGTTGCAGAACTGCAGAAATTGGTTGGTGGGGGGAGCAGGTGAAGGAAATGAAAGTGATCCACCAGATGCTACAGGAAAATGAGAAGCATTTTCCAATGGTAGTTAAATCAACTGTCTTTTTTTTCTCTATAATTATATGTTATTAATTTTCATAAACATTTACAGAGATTTTGGGTTTCCATTCATTCATTGTTGCACTATTCTCTCTACCCTCCTCCCAGTTTGTTCTTGTCCA